GATGGATGAAGATCTTTTGAATGGTTGTTTAGTTTGCTATATAGAGCGTAGTATATTTAAAAATGTAAGTAATGATGCCATTATTGACCGTTTTCAAAATATGAAAACTCGTCGAGGACAATTGTAAGTGAATGATGTTTGTTGCTAATATATTACTATATAAAGATTGTTACTACCTACTTGCTCGTCAACTTGTTCTCACCGTAAAATTTATATAATTGAATTAATTGCCTATTTTGAAGATAATGGTGCCCCCATGTTCTTGAGATCCTGGATACGCCTCTGGCCCCCTATTGGTAAGAAGCTGATGTGTGACCATAAATTCTTCATTTTACCTTTCTGATACCAACACTTGTCTCATTTATTGGATTGTCTTCAGAAGTTGGAACACAAGGAACATTGAACAATACACCGATGCAGCAACCCCTAGTTATTTCCATCTCTGTAATTCTTGGAGTTATGGTTCTGTGTGGTATTATTTATATAATTTATCTGAAAAGATCGGCAAGAAGTAAAGGTAACAATGTAGAAATTTCATCTGCTTTTTCTCAACTACTCCAACTTTTGGATATCGTAATCACTTCAATTGTTTTGATTATAGAAGCCAGAGATATTGTTTTGGGAATGCCTATGGAGTACTTGCCTCATAGAGATAGTTTTGATGAAGATTTAATCACTGAAGATGATAAGAAACGGATTGATGTCCCGTTTTTCAGCTTGAATAGCATACTAGTTGCTACTGAAAACTTCTCAAATGCAAGTAAGCTCGGGAGAGGTGGATTTGGACCTGTTTATAAGGTTTTGCAACTTTATTTTTCTTTCCTTCTTCTGTTCTAAGTTGTTTTACCATTCAGATTTTTTTCTTTCGTTTTCATTATATAACAGTCCGGAGATATATTTATGCAGGGTAAGTTTCTCGGAGGTACAGATATGGCAGTTAAAAGGTTGTCAAGTAATTCTGGACAAGGTGTTGAAGAATTTAAAACTGAAGTAATGTTGATTGCCAAACTGCAGCACAGAAATTTAGTTAGGCTTCTAGGCTATTGTGTTGAGAGAAATGAAAAGATTTTGTTATATGAATATATGCCCAACAAAAGCTTGGATACGTTTCTATTCGGTTAGTATACTTCCCTCCCTACCATGAAACTCGTTGTAGTAATAGTTTTATGATTGATTCTCTCTGAAGTTATCTTACAAACCTTGAAATTAGATCATGCATTCTGTCGATTACTGGACTGGAGGATTCGTTTTGAAATTATATTGGGTATTGCTCGAGGGTTACTTTATCTTCACCAAGACTCAAGGCTAAGGATCATTCATAGAGATCTAAAGACGAGCAACATATTGTTAGATGAAGAAATGAATGCCAAAATATCAGATTTTGGCTTGGCAAGGATTGTTGAAGGCAAAAATACAGAAGCCAATACTAACAAAGTCGTTGGAACATAGTAAGTCTCTTAGTTCTGCTTCACCTTTGATTTGGTGGGAAGAAGATAGATATATACACACCTAATGTATTGGTTTACACAAACTAGATGCTAAAATAACCTATTCTGGAACACTAAAAACAGTGGCTATATGTCTCCGGAATATGCATTGGAGGGACTCTTTTCAATCAAGTCTGATGTATTTGCCTTCGGAGTAGTCCTACTCGAGATCGTAAGTGGGAGGAGAAACATGGAATTTTTCGAAGATGTAAACCTCATTGGTCATGTAAGTACCAAAATTTCCCTCATTAATATACATCTCATTCTACTTAAAGCTTTCATTGACTCAAAATTAGCATTTCACAGGTATGGAGACTGTGGATGAAAGACAGTGCATTAGACATGATGGATCAAACCATAGTTGAGTCGTGCGATGAAAGTGAAGTGCTAAAGTGCGTTAATGTGGCACTCCTATGTGTTCAAGAAGATCCAGCTGAGCGTCCTGTAATGTCAAATGTTGTTTTTATGCTTGGAGGTGAAAGCATAACACTACCAAGACCAAATCAACCAGCTTTTATAGCACGAAGAAATAGTGCTGGTGCAAGTACATCTTCTTCGTCTTCTAAGCTATACAACACTTCCAACAATGGGTTGACAATAACTCAACGAGTAGGCCGATGAAATCAATATACATATAAGTTAAATGCATAACGCACACAAGCCAATAATGTGCCGGTATATCTTTACTTCAATTTCAGTTTGAATTTCTGTTAAATTATTTTGGCACGCAAAATAACCGATTGTGTTGTAGTCTCGGATAGAATAATTAAAAAATTTATTATCAAGTAGAGTTATGTACAAGTTCTATAAAAACTTTGTTTGGATATAATGTCACAATTAATGTATTATGTATACATCCAGCAACCAACATTCTATATAAACGAACAACAACAACATATTCAATGTGATTCTATAAGTGGACCTGAAAAGAATGTAGTATACGCGGTATACGCAAATCGTATCCTTACCAAGCAAATAATGTAGAACCTATTTGATCATAGATTTCTCAAGTAAAATTTGGGGGAAATTTGGCAAATAGTGTTTGTCCATACAATTTGCCATTATTTGGCAAATATCCCGAATTCCCAAATACTAGTTTTTTTTTAGTATTTGGGCCAAATCTCATTTTTTGAGATCTTTTAAAAATTGAAATTTTACACCAAACTTTTATCTTTTACAAAAACACCATCTATAGTAATTGTTTGCGTTGTATTACATAATTTTTTACATGAATACCAAAGTAGTGATGAAATATTCAGTGAATATGAAAGTGATGATATGGTTGTTGATGAAAATGATAAACAATCGGTTCAGGGTAACAAAGTCATCTGCTTTGTCTACTTCACGATGTATGGAATGATGCTTGTTGCACTCACTCCAAACTACCACAGTGCTCTAGTGTCATGGACACTACCTGTTAATTGTTTCAACGAAGATCCAATTGACTTGTAATACAAACTTATGGTTAGTTTTGATAGTTTTTTTAAAACTTAGACCATCTCCAACCAACCTCTATTTTACTCTCCATACTCTATATTTGGAGAGTAAAATAGAGAATGGGCACTCCAATCTACCTCCAAATCACCCTCTATTCTTCAAATTTAGAGAGTCGAATAGTAGTTCTCCAAATTTGGAGAACTACTATTC